GAATTTGGCCAACTGCTCACCCTTTTGATCCAGTTACATGCGCACGCAGATGCTAAGGTGTCATCTCTGAAGAATTGGTAAGAAAGTCTTGGATTGAATCTCTATTCCTGGAAACACCAACTCATCTCTCTTCAAGAAAGAGAACCTACTTCATGTGCACTCCTGAAGTGGTGATAAAACAGTGCTTTTTAAGTTTTTCACTTTTAAATGTTTATTTTATTATTCCCTTTTCGTATTATTGATAATCTCAGGAGAATGTTCACCATAACTGTCCATTAAATAAAATGTAATAGAATGAATAAATAAATAGTTATTGACCCAATAACTTTTTCAAATATATTAATATAAAGTTTTAATCAGTTTAAATATAGGAACAGATCTCCTTTGTAGACACTCTTTGAAACTTCTTGCTTGATACATGGCTATGTGGAAAGGAATCTGCTGGGACTGACTGAGGGGACTGTGTAGAGTTGCTCAAGCAAGAAGCTCCGTGTGTATAAATTAAAGCTTGGAATTCCGGCTGTCTGTTTTTAAGACTTTGGAGTTGCAGACATTAGTAAGTGAATGGGAGAGTTAATGAATAACTTGTCTTTGGGATCTTTGTTTTCCATATAGATTCTCCGGTCACTTTTCAAAACTTTGGAATACAAAATGTTGCTGCTTCATTAAAAGTTCAGCCAAGATGGCTATGGTACAGCTCTTATTAATAAGATCATCTGGCTATTTTCTGGGCTTGAAGAAAGAGATATTCTTTAGGCATTGAATAGATAGAAGTTGATTTTTTTAGGCTATTTAGTTTGGGGCTTTGATTTGAAATGATTATTTATTTGTCCATTTTCTAGTGGGCTTAGGGATCTAGAATCTTCACTTGCATGGGATTTCTTTGTTCATTGCCAGTCACAGGGTGTTTGTGTCATACGTGGTTTCTGGGGACCTGGAGGTCCATGCACCTCATTTTAAAGTCTCTCAGTTGAAGTAAATTTTATCTCCTTATGGTTACAGTAACAGTTCTTTAACGTCTCCCTGTGTTCAATCAAACAAAAGCCAACATTGGTTTGCCAACAAGGAATCATTTGTCTTCTCTGATAACCCCAAACCGATCTCCCAGCCCAGAAGGGGATGCTGACTCATCACAGCCCTCTAGGACTGGATAGAATTCTGCATTTCAGAGACTGCAACTCTTTACAGGAGTAGAAAGTTCAGTTTTCACCAAGAAACTTCTGGTGGCTTTGAACTGCTGACCATGCAGTTAGCAACCAAATACATAAGCACCACGCAACCAAAGCTACTTCTTGTCTGAGATCTTATGTATATCTACAATGGTATTAAAGGAGAGGAGTATATTTGCATTTGTTTTTCAAAATGATTATTTTGATGTTTTTCTCAAAGTTCCAATAATTTTATGATGTTAGGTGCCATGCAGTCGGTCCTGACCCACAGCCACCATACGCACAACAGAAAGAAACACTGCATGGTCCTGTACCATCCTCACAATCGTTCCTGTGCCTGAGCCCATCAGGGCAGCCACAGTGTCAATACAGCTGGTGAATGCCTACCCATTTTTTGCAAAAGCATACCCTTTACCAAACACAGCAAAAAAATAAAACTTTTCCCAAACATGATGCCCTTCTCCAGGGACTGGTTTCTCTTGATAGCATGTACGAGCTGTGTAAGACTAAGGATCACCATCCTTTCTCTCAGAAGCATTATGGCTGTGCTTCTTCCGAAACAGATTCTGTTTCCTTTTCGCAGCTTATGGATCTTTCAGTATTTTCCAGCACCACAGATTAAATGCATTGATTCTTCTTTCGTCTTCTCCATTTAATGTTCAAATATCCAATTCTCCTGAAGAATCTGAACTTATATTATTTCACTACATTATATGCAAAAATTAATAGAAATTCATTTCCTCAATGTTCTGCAAAAGAACATGTCTAGTGTTCCTCATGTTTCATATTCAAGACTTCAGAACATACTCTCTGAATTTGGCAACCATCTTTCCAAACAAAAACCTATACAAACAGCTGATATTTTAGGCCAACCCCCTTTAAAAAAATCTTATCTAAAAATTACCCGTGTTAATTTGTTTTCGTGATTATGTCAAGCAGCTCCTGGAATAAATATTAAACAACCACAGGACCATTTAGAATTGATATAATTCCAAAGATATGAAACTAGATTTTAGGAACTTTATTGAAAATACAGTCAGGTTTGTCCAGAGAAAACAGAAACAATAAGATAATTATTTTAAGGAATTTGCTTACGTAATTGCGAGGGCTAATAAGTCCAAAATATGTGAGATAGTATGGGAGGTTGGACCATCTTTTGGTACTGACAAAGCAGTCTTGACAAAGAATTTCTTCTTTTCTATGCAATGTCCATTTTTATTTTTAAAACTTTTAACTGGTTGAATGAAGACTACCACATTATTGGAGTAATTTTTTAACTCAAATTAATTGTAGATCTTATTCACATCTACAAAACAAGTTCACAGCAAAAACTAAGTTTGTGTTTAATTAAATAACTGAGTGTTATAGCCTAATTAGGAGTACTGGTGACACAGAGGCCAAAGCGCTCAGCTACGAGCGGAAGGCAGCTGTTGGAAACCTCAGCTCGGTGTTGCACTGGAGAAATAGATGGCAATGTACTTCTGGAACGGTTTATTGTCTTGGAACCCTACTGATGGAACAGGAGTGGTTGGATAGCAGAGTCAAGTGAGCAGCCATGGCTACTATAATTTGTATAGCCTTGAGGTGTTACCAACTTTCCTTTCTAAATCTCATCAGTGTCTGTGGATTCCACCTGGAGAAGTCCGTGTGCATCGTTGCCTTTTGTGCTGTTGAAAACTGTGTTGACGATGAAGTCCATTGTCTTGCAAAAATCTGTCATGAGATCTGTAGTTTTGTTTCTATCACCAGTCATATTTTCCAAGGATTGTTCTTTGTTTCCAAATATTATTTCAAATCACCAATAGTTATCAACACACCTTAATTGAAGAAACACTCAAAATTCACACCCTCTTCAACTGCCAGTAACACTGTAAGAAACTAGTGTTTTTAGTAATAATCAAAGGAAGACCAAAGTAATAAGTTAAACATCATTTGTCATATTTATACCTTCCCTGAAGAGGGTAAATTTAGTCCTCTGTAAGGTCCTCCGAGCTATCCAAGACCAAACTCATAGCTGTCAGGTCAATTCTGACTCAGAGACCCAGAACTAGTGAATTTGCCCCATGGTTTTTCCAACATTGTAATCTTCAGAGAAGCAGCTGCCACATTTTCTCCAAGATGGGTTAATTGGAACAGCTGCCCTCCTGATTAGCAGACCTGGACTTTGATCACTGCACTTCTCAGGCTTCTTAAGGTCCTTCCAAGGACTTAACATTTATGATTCTGCAACTACTTGTAGTCAGTCCTTACTGTGGCCATCATATTGACAACCCTTGCTAAGTCAACTAGCCAACATTGTGTAGGGTATACTTCTGGCTTATGAAAGCAGCCCTGGTTATTCTTTGGGCTGCTGACCATAGGTCAACCGTTTGAACCCACCAGCTGCTCCATTGGAGAAAGATGAGACTGTCTGCTCCCATAAAGATTCATAACCTCATAAACCTAAAGGTTCAGTTCTACTCTGTCCTATAGAATTACTTTAAGTTGTAATCTATTGGCTGACAGTGAATTGGATGGGTGTGGCTTATGAAAACCAGAGGGTGGAGGTATAAGAAAGTGGGGGTTTTTTTGTTTGTTTGTTATCCCGTCAAATATGACTCAAAGTGACCCCGTGGGAAAGAGCAGAGCACTCCCTGGGGTTTCTTGGCATTGTAAATTTTCACAGAGCAGATGACCAGGGATATTGGACTAATAGTGAGTTCAAATTGCAGGTGTTTTGGTTCGGAAGCCTGGATCGCTATTCCACCAAAGCTCCTTACAGGAAAGCTTTCACAGCCATAGTCAATTCTGACTCATAGCAACCCTATAGGACATGGTAGAACTGCCCCTGTGGCTGTCTAAGACTGTAGCTGTTTACAGGGGTAGAAAGCCTTATCTTTTCCATGAAAACTAGATGATTTTAGTTAACAAATCCTGCTACATTGACACGATTGTATGGACACACATATTTGATTGCAGCACATTATGAAAGAATCATCCTTACTCATGTTGTAGGTAAAATGATCATGAATGCCTTTCTAATACCACAGGGAACCCTATCTTCCTTCAGCAGGCTTTGTAACCAAGACCAGATGGTTTATGGGAAAGTTACTCTGTAAATGGATTTGACTTCTAATGTGTACACAAATCACAAATAGATAATTACAAATAAGCACATTAGATTTTAATCCAGAAAACTCCCAAGACTTCAGAATATTTATTTTTTATGATGATTGTTTTCTCTTGTGTGGCAAAATTTGAGATCGAAGTCAGTTGGGAAAGTCGTGCTTCATATAGTCTCTGCAATTTGCTCCTGTGGCAATTTATTCAAACAACCTGCTTGGAGTACTCTATTTGCAGAGTTTAGGTCGGGAACAACCTGCCACATTATATAATTCACGGAGCAAGTTTTGGCTCCCACGTCGCCAATCCATCTTCGATAGTGGCTAGTGCTGGGCCTCTAGCAATACATATGATCAAGCAATTTAGCACAAAAGGAGAAAGGCCCCACAATTTGGCACCCTCGTGGACATTCATCTTTGAGAAAACCAAACGGATCCAACTTTTGCCAGAGTTTAATGGCAAAGCTGTCACATTTTACACAAATGAGTATGGAGTCTGTAGAAACGGAGAGCAGCGCGGGAGGAAGGGAAAAGGAGGTGGGGTTGCTGACTGGACTGTTTTCAAAGTGGCTCCAGTTTGTAGGGGAGGAGTTGGGATGCTCCTCCTGGCAAAAGAGGCGAGGCAGGCAAAATCATTACTAGCGAGGGGCAGGATACTGGAGCTGCGGGTATATAAGGAGGCGCTTCCAGGGCAGAGCTGCTGCTGCTGCTGCAAGAGCCACCAGTAGCGCGCTGGCCCCATCTCTCACTAGCCAGACGCCCGGAGAAGAACAACACAGCGGACGAGGTAGAACCCCAGGATCTGGGACAGATACAGGACCCCTAACTTCCTCCTGTCCTCTTTCCCCACACGCACAGCAGCCTAGCAGCCCGCGCGCAGCGGCAACGCGCTGGGAGGCAGGTGGTCAAGGTGATGCGAGCAGGTGGCTGGGCGTCTTGGCTCTGGAGGCAGAAGTAGAGCCCAGCGTGCAGTTAGGGACCGCGTGTTAGAGCCCACCCTGTGCGCCCAGGGACCCCTTGGCTCGAGGGAACACCTGCTGCTTTGCTGCCCCGCCGGAATGAGCCCCTTGGCGTCTCTGCTGCTGGGCACGGCGCTGCTCTGCGCACAGGGCGCTTTCGGCAGACGGGTCGTCAGCGGTGAGTCCGGGGTCGCCATCCTAGAGAGCCGCGGGGTTGAGGGGGTGGGGGTGGGGAGTGGTGGCCGGAGGGGTGAGGGGTGGCTCGGGGAGACTCAGGGCAACCTGCCCCAGGGTGGCTTGCTTTCAGAGGCATGGAAACTTCCTCCGGGAGCTTGGTGGCCAGGAAGCCCAAATAAATGAATTGTCTTATTTATTTTCTCTCCTGCTCTCCCCTCCCTCCCCCGCCAATTGTTCCTATAAGTCTGGACTCAGTCCCCCTATCCAAAGTTTAAATGTTTTTGAAACGTTGAGTTAAATGGTTGTGCCAGAAGCTTCTGCTATGTCTTGAGCAGATTCAGCCACTCCCAGCAATCCTTCCTACATTCTTTGTAAAAGAGTTGGCCACTGGGCAGGGCTTGGCACCCCTAAGGGGATGTGGTAGGTGAGAGGCAGATGGAATCCAGAGACAGAAGACAGGAGAGTCAATGCAGAAATGCCACCCCCTGTTGGCCTGACTAGACCTCTGCCTCCCTCCTGGTTCAATCAAATGATTCCCTGGACCAGAGCTGCTTGCAGGGTAGGGTGGAGTATTGTAGGCTCCTTTCAGGACCCGCGTACATGAAGCCTTTGTTCACAGGAACACGGCCAAAGATGAGGGAGAGGGCAGTTGCGTATAAACGGATTCCTTCTCTATGCATTCCTTATTGCACATCGCCAATAATGGCAACAAATGATCTGGCCACAATTGGGTTGTGGTGGGCCTGGCAATGACTGCAGGGGTGGGCACTGTCCAGCCAATATAAGCAAAGGGGACCAGAATTGGCAAGCTTCCTAGAGTTCTCTGATTTTTTTTCTCTTTAACTTTCATCATTCTATTGCTGGGCAATTTATTCCCTATTCACTCTTCTTTACTTTCTCAAAAGGATGTTGACTCTCTATAGCTTAATAGGATGAATAAATTGGGCTTTTCCTGAATGTTGAGCATAGCTACCTTTACTGAGACCTTTTGCTATGATCATTGAGGTGTGACAATAAATCTGTGTTGGCAACCCATAGGTATGTATTTAAATGTGGAAAGTATTTTTTTGTCCTTCTCATTGTTATTATTGCTTGTTTTAATGTAAAAAAAAATTATTTTTCACATTTTGTAAATCTGTAGAGCAGGTGTTTATAGAGGAAGGTAGAAGACAGACAATAGCAATTTAATCAGTTGTGAAGCCAGACCTTTAGAATCTGGCATATTAAAGTTAATTGTTACTGATTCTCCCCCTGGCAACTTGTAATGTTCTTTATCTTCAGAATATAATCCTTCAATGTCCAATTACCAATAACCCTCCACTAACTTTCTGTCTGGGTCCTCTGCAGACATTAGGTATTAAGAAATATAATTTTGAACTGCGTGCTACTTTTATATTTAGTGAGAAAATAAACCTGTTAAAGTTTATGAAATGGCAAATTTACAATATTGAATACGATGTTACAGAAGCCATGATAGTATTTTTAACTTTACCCCCAACTTAGAGATGAAGAAAAAGTTCACTATGAACATACGCTCTTCTGAATGTGTACATTACCTGTCTGTCACTCAGTGAATAGAAGAAGCATTCGTGCACATGAGTGGACATGGAGAGCATGCTCGGAACAAAAGGTGTTTGTTAAAACAAATGAAAACTTTCAAGGACTTAAGCAGAGTCGTTTTCTCATAGTTTTGTTATATCCCTTACGTTTTGCAGGAAGGAAAAGCATACCTACACTAAATCTAGGACTTAAAATAGTTGTGTTTAAAGTCTGTGTTCAATTATGACATACATTCCTCCAGACCTTTTGCCATGTTTTCTGATTGAATATTTATAGTCATCTTGTAGATGACATCTGGAAAATGTCTAATTAACTGAACATGAACTATCTAATTTAACATAAATGATGATGCTTAATTCCTATTAAAATAATTACTAAGTTACATTTTTCTTATGAATAATTGAATTATATTTGACTGTATAAATTCACACTGAGATTTAACAATCTATAAACTGGTTTTCCATTTTTAGCTTTTGATGCCTATATTTTAAAAAAGATATATTTCAGCTATAATGAGATGAGTACTGGGTAACCTCAAGCCTGGTGTTTGAGAAACAATAATTTATAACAGATCTAATGTTTTTCTGGTCCATGTTAAGATTTGAATGTTGCGTCCATTTTTTAGACCACCAAGAGATCATTTACCAAATCGCTCCTCAGGAGGTTGAGAACCGAAATAGGTTCTTTGGGACCAGGATAAGGAATGGCCATACAATAGATGGAACACATTTTCTTTCTTTTCTTTAAAGTCATTTTATTGGGGGCTCATACAACTCTTATTACAATCCATCCATGCATCCATTGTGTCAAGCACTTTTGTACATTTGTTTCCCTCATCATTCTCAAAACATATGTTTTCTACTTGAGCTCTTAGTATCAGCTCCTCATTTTCCCCTCCCACCCTGTTCCCCCCTCACCTTTCCCCCATGAACCCTTGATAATTTATAAATTATTATTATTTTGTCATATCTTATACTGTCCAAAGTCACCCTTCACCCACTTCTCCACTGTCCATCCCCCAGGGAGGAGGTTATATGTAGATCCTTGTAATCAGTTCCCCCTTTCTCCAAGATAGATGGAACACATTTTTTATTTATTAAATCTCAACAAGACAATTTCAGTAGGAGAGATAGGACAGCAAAATAATCACTTGCCTCATATAAAAGTCAAATCTTCACAAAATAAGTCTCTATAGGTATCTTTTATTTTAGTACTTTAAAATATTCAATAATAGACTTTTTAATTCTTTTCAATAAATGAGTTTTTCAAAGTTCAGGAGCTTTCTTTATAAAAAAGATGAAAATCGGATATCAAAAGATAGCATTTTGAATTATATCAACATTTAAAATGTTAATATGTGGCATTAGTAAAAAGTATTTTTATTTTTATAAGTATATCGCCATAATTATTTCTGATGTTTTATTGTGCAATAGTGAAAGATAACCAGGATGGTAATAATCAAAGACTATTTGCTGAGTTTATGATTCTAAGTTGGGAGTGCCTTTTAGAATCTTAGACAGGATTTATTTGTTGCTGCACACTGTTGTTTGCAGAATTATGGAGCCAGATTAACTTAATTTGATGAAATAACTCATAAGTTGTGACATCATCTAGAGAACAAAAAGTTATTTATGGAATATGGATAAATATAGAAAGGAAAATTAGAAAATTCAGGTTTCCTAGTTAGGAGGAAAATGTTTAAAGGAGCAACTTATGCTTTTAACATGTGAAATGTTTTGAATAACATGTTTCTTTTTATTATTTCCCTCTTTTCTGTCTAGTGTGCCCAGAAGTGATCCTCAAACTGTTTCTTGTTGACAGATGGCACTAGGTGTATTCCAATGAGCCTCCAAACTTCTCCAGAAACTTTATTATGCATTAATTAAACTTGTTAAAATTGGCATGCACTGTATCTAGGAGACTTTGGATTTAGAGAAATTTCTTTTTATCCTGAAGACACCACAGAGTTTTGCAAATTCATGTCTGGTCACCAGTAGCCAATAGCATAACATAATGGCAAAGAATGGACAAGACAAAAGCTTGGCATGTCTCGGTCTAGGATAATATTCCCTGACATCATCAAAAGCATAAAGTGATGACAGTGCAGTTTTCAAAGAGGCAATTACTTTAAGTATTTCTTAAGCAAGAAAGGAAGCCATTAATCATAGTACTAGTCATTAAATAAGCTGGACACTTTTCATAGCCATTATATTTAACTGCTGCATACCATCATTGGATGGCTTTGTTGACGCTTTTTCCTGAGGATGAAAATATTGATAGCATTACCTATGTATGTATATGTACATATATATCAGGAATTATTATACAGTATAATGTAAGTTACTATTATTTTATATTGTACAGTATCTTTGAGTCAGCTGCTGAAAGCTTAGCCATTGCTCTTCTAGGGTTCCTGGTAAAAGGTCATGTATTATAAAATACATATACAAGAGGTAGTATTTTTAGAGAGGCCCAAAGTCAAACTCCAACCTGATGTTCTCCCTAATAATTTTTTCTATATGTAACTGCTTTGTGCATTAGGCATTTTGCATACAGGTGGATGGTTCTGCATGCCTGCTAGGCCAAATTGTTTCTTCTTTTCTTTTAAATTTGATTTATTTCTTTGATTCCTTGTATGCTATTATCGGTGTTTCAATGAGGCCTAGAAAGGTGACTAAAGTCATACTATTTTTTAACTGGGAAAAAATCAATTTGAACTTTGCTTCCTTTGAAAAATAAAAGAGAAGCATTTTTAAAAAAAAACAAGGAGTAGGTCTGAAAATCTGGAATAGAACATTTCCTGCCGTCTATTTATGTCTGACTCATGGCAACCCTGGGATGAAGTTGTCCATTATTACCTCTGTATCTGAATATTCTGCTTCAGAAAGTCCACACCTCCTCAGGCACAAGATCACAATGCATCACCCCTTACAAATTGTAGCTAACAAGTCATCCATCACTGCCTGATGTGAATAGTTCTCACATGGCATGCATAGAGAGGTGTCTTTGTGTGGCAAACATGGCTAAGTGCTCCATTACCAAGAAAGAAACTGGCAATTAAAATCCTCTTAAAGGCATCTCAGAAGAAAGGCCTGGCAGTCTACTTTAGAAATATAACAACCATTGAAAACCCTGTGGAGCTCTATAACCACTGATCTGATAGTTGTTGTTTTTGGTTAACATGCATAGTGTAGATACATCAGTCCCACTCTTTAGGAATGTTTTTCCAGTAGAAAAACATGTGAGTCATACATGATGGCAACATCAAATTGTGGTTACAGTCATGGACTGTGGAGACAGACTGCTTGTTGCTGAATCCAAGATGTCCCATCTGTGAGCAGCACATATTTTTTTATGCCCCAATGGCTTCATTTTAAAAATATGAGAGGAACACCTGCATCACAGTTGCTGAAGGATTGATGGGACTAAGATAGAGTGGGG